ACTCTCCTAGCCTGAAGTGTTTCTGTAGATATGTCTGCTGCTATTCTTTTTTTTTTTTTTGACAGAGAAAGAAAAGTTTAATTAAAAGTAAATTAGAGAGAGAAAGAGAAGGGAAAGAAAAGATTTACCTCCCCAAGGTTGGGGAGGGGACCAAAGCCAGAAAGCCTGGTAACAGCCACAGCTTAAAGAACACATGGCCACCCCAGAGTCTAGCAAGGCAATGGCCATTGGCTGCTTGTGGTTGAGTCCTTTTCACCATTTCCCTTGATGGGGCAAGATCATTAAGGTGATTGGGTGGTGGTCTGCTCCATGACATCACAAAGGGGCAGGCAAGCACAGTTACTGATGTCAGGTGATGGACAGCAGGCAGATGGGTGGGTTAGTCAAATGATTGCTGCCATGGTGGGGTTTATTTGTGTCATGTAGGCCACAAAGGGCTGATTAGATTAATTTGGGGAATTTGGGCCTGGAGGGGGTTTTTTCCTGCAAGAGACTTGTTAGACATTTGCAATTTACAAATTCCTTGACCAAAGGTGGTCGCATTATCACTTTTATGACTTTGACCAGCCAAAGGGTGATTTATGATCTTCAGCCTTGACAAGGAACCTAAAAGTTTATCAGACATTATTATGAAAGGTTGGGCTGTCCTGTTCTTGTATCTGATGGAGATTTGCCGAGGGGGGATGGGATAGGCAGCTGCTTGTTCTGCAGTAGAATGTCTGAAGACTTTCTAATGGTTATGCTGAGGCAAAAAGGCTAAACTAAGAATAAGTTAAGTTTTTTTTAGGTTTCTATACCACCTTTCATTCCCACCACTTGCTATTTTAAAAATATTCTTATTTGTACCTTGGAACAGGAACGAAGATCAGTTTTCTGTAGCTACTTCCTGCTACACATGAGTATAGAACTGTCCTTACCTGTCTAGAGCAAGAGGAGGTGATGAGAGGATAGGAGTCCATGGTGCTAAGTATTTTTAGTATTTGTATTTAAAATATTGACCATAGGAATTAATATTATAATGAAGGAAATACAGTTACTTTGACAAAGTTTGAAGAAAAATTTAAAACATTTGTGACATGTGATTAGGTTTTAGTTTAAACTGAGAAGTTAAAATAGGTAAAGAATGGCAAGAGAAAACAGTTTCCTTTGTTTTTATAATAGGTTTTATATACTTTTACAACGATTGATATCCTAGAGGGTGAAGCCCAGGTTATTTTACTATTTATCCTATGTTAGATTAGTAATCCTTGTGCCTAGAAGGAGATCCCAAAGTTCTTAGTAATTTGGCACTGAAAAATACTACAGCTGATCACAAACTTCTGTGAGCAAAATTAGTCTACCTGGTTTGCAGTTAGCTTGGAGGGTGTGGGTAGGTGTGGTTCCTGGAGCTTGCTTCTTATCTTACCCTAGAGAGTCTGCTGCTATTCTAATTGGTCTTTCCTGGTAGGTAGTCTAACTTTTCTCTCTTGCTGCCTTTAGGATTTTTTTCTTTTATATCTACTTTGTGGGGGTTCTCTGAATCTCTTTTGTTTGAATGGTTGCATCACTGATGACGTGAGGGAAGTTTTCTTGGATAATTTCATGGAATGTTTGTTCCAGGTGGTCTCTGTCTCTCTGCCTCAGGAATTCCAATTAATCTTAGGTTTGGCTTCTTGAAATAATCACTCATCTCTTGGAGGTTTTGTTCTGTCTTTTAAAGCTTCTTTTCTTATTTTTAACAGTTTGGGTTAGTTCCCATATTTTGGTCCTCCAGCTCTGAGATTCTTTCTTCTGCTTGACTAATTCTGCTTTCCATGCTTATCAGTTTGTTATTTATTTCATTCACTGTATTCTTTATTACTGTTATCTAAGATATCAACTCCTTCATTTTCTCCTCTTGCAACTCGTAATTTCTATTTATTCTTTCTATTAACATCTTGATATCTGGGTTTGTGGTTTGAGATCAGTCATTCTGGTGGCTCTTCATTGTTTGAGCTCAGAATACTGTATCCTCAGTGACTGACCTCCCAAGGGTCTTTGTGAGACTCATATTCTTCCTTTGTTTTTCCTCATTTGTGTAGGTTTACCTCCCCTCTTTTTTTTTTTTTTTTTTTTTTTTTTTTTTACCTCTTCCTTAATTCTATTGTTCAGTGATGTGGGGTCAGCTTTTATTTCTGTTTGCTCAATCTCCTATTCTTCCTTATGTAGATCCTCTGGTTTTGTTCAGTTCTGAAGTTGGACTGGGGGTGGGTGCCTGTGTTTTTTCAGTTTTGAGATTTAATTAGGAGGGGAGCTTTGTTTCAGAAGCTATGCCAATCCCAGTATCCACTGACAGGTATGTGGGCCCCCTGTAACCCACTTCTCACTGGCTTACAATCTGTTCATACAGTGGGGGTGTCTGTTTTCTCCCTTAAGGCAAAATGAGATACAAAAAGGGAAACTAATGGAAAAGGAAAGAAGGAAGACAAAAGGAAGGCGAGGAGAGAGAAGAAGAAGAAGGGGGAAAACAGACTGGTGTACCAACTAATAAATAAACCGAGAAACAAAGACAGAAAAAATAAAAAAGACAAAAACATACAAACAATCTACAAACAAACAAACAAAGATTCCCCTGCTGGTGTACTCTCCCTCAAAAATACCCATACACAAACAGAAAATCTAAAAAAGAAATTAAAATAACAGAAACAAAGCAAGTACAAAAATGTAAAAACAGAAAGAAAGAGAGAAGAAAAAAATCGAAGCTAAAACAAAAAACAAACAAGAAGAAGAAGAAGAAAAACTCCCTCTGTGGTCATTTCTGAATTCCAGGTGCCTTTCGGCTCCTCCTCTGCTTTAGGGAGCAGCTCTATTCTCCGGTCCCTCCCCTCCGCTCTCCCTGCAGGCTGTTAGGGTTGCTCTCAGCATGGGTCAGATGCCTCAGGGACTACTGTGGGAGGAGAATGGATCAGATCCAGACTCACCCTATTGGCTGCTGCTGTTGTCAAATCTCTCCCCACTCAGATCTGAACCATCTGTGCCTGTTCTATCATGGGGGAGCAGCATCTATCTCTCTGAGTCTTATGAGAAGATAGCCTCTGGTTCCCAGGATGGAGACTGGGTGGAGCTGGGTGAGGCATTGCCAGTGAGTCTGGTCCCAGGACTGAGAAGATGGTGCCCGTTGGCATCTGGTCACTGGTATAGGAGCTTTATTCCAGATTTCCAGGACCTGCCTCCTCCTGCTTGTGCCCAGTCTGCTACTACAAGTCATAGTGTGGCTGGATGCCAGGTGGTGAGTGGCAGCTGTTCTCTGCTTCCTCCTCTCAAGAGAGCTCCCTGATCTGCAGATTATCCTGCATGCCCACGTCTCCAATCTGAGGGCAGTGGTGGATTGCAGTCACCTCTGGAGGAGAGCCCCAGGTGCATGAACCCGAGCCTTCCCTCAGGCAGACTTTCACTCACCCACGGGCACACACCCACTCACACAGAGAGTCTTTATGGACACCCGCTTTTGCGGATGTCTGACCTATCCCATTGCCAACTTGCCCAGAAGTCCAAAGTCCCATTCCTATATATTTATTTACATAGATTTAAATAACATAGATTTATTATGTGTCTATATTATATGTATGCTACAGATATGCTTGATTATAACTCTATAATTAAATATTTTTATTTTTAGTATACATAGGTGCCTACAGAGAAATTGCTATTATCAATCAAGGTTTTCAGCTACATGCAAAGAAACTAACCCTGGCTAGCTTAAGGAGAAAAGGAATTTAATTGGTAGTTGAAGACTCCACAGGATGCCTAGAGAATAAGTCTTGGAAAATGGACAAGAACCTAAGAGAGCTAGGTGGCAGGAAGGACCAGCCAACACACGTGTCAGGACGTCACTACTTTAAGACATTCGCTGCTGTTTTAAAATATATTTGTACTGATAGTTCCTTTGTGTTGCTTGCTGGAGTTCGAAGTCTAGGGTGGGAACAGCTTGGCTAAGTCCTTATTCTGGCTGCAGAGAGGGATCTCCTCTCTTTGGCTTCTCTCTTAAGGCCTCCCATCAAGACATACCTAATAAGGGATTTGCCCCCTCCCTGGCAAGAAGGGAATTTGGACTAGAAAGACCACGCCATCAAAACAACAGCAACAACAAAGCAAACAAAAACAAAAATACCCAAGCATCTTCCCAACTACCCATTAAAATTTATTTCTAAACAGTTCTGCATGATGACAGGTAGCTGTATGCTTCTTGAATTATAAGGTAAATTTGTTAAAGGCATCTCAAATCTTCTGGAAATATTGTTTCTGTTTTAAGAAGGGCTGTGGTAGTTTATTAGAGAAAAATGACTGATCCTTTTTTCAGAATAAATTAGTTTTAGTATCCCTAAGCTTTGTAGTATATAGACTAAAGAAATGGATTAGCTTATGTATTTTTCTAAGAAACAGAATTACAAAAGGTGGTTGCCAGATATGCATATTTTCAACATTTTATTTGGTAAATATTTAAAAAGTTGTATTTAAAATATTTACAAGATATTGCTGTCATTTATACAAATAGATAAAACCAAAATATATAATGAACACAATTCAATGAAAAAAACTTTGAAAAAAACAATTAAGACCTCTAGTAATTCAATTATAAAATATTTGCTCTCTTACCAGTTTCCCATAGCTTATAACTTTTATACTATATTTTGTGAATTGCAGTATCTTTATAAAACAAACAAAATGATGCATAATAACATTTTTTGTAGACATTTATGTGCTACATGATAATTGAGGAAAGAAATGTGCATTTGCATGAAAAATTGCTTGAGGAATGTTTACCTATACATATTTTTTGACTTACAAGGGCTCAGCACCAGTAAGAGTGTTAATGTCTCCATCTTAACCACAGATAATAATATGGAATATACATCAATACAGACAGATGACTTCTAGAGACAGAAATGTTTTCACTGTCACAACAGGATATTTATAAGCATCAAATCTTCTAGAAGCTTCTCTAACCTAGAAATGCATAAATGTACATTGCAAGAGGTAAAAGTTTCCTATTGCAGAATTCTAGTCACTTCAGTAGTCACAGTTAAACTTGTTCCGGGTTTTCAAATCCTCTTTTCCAGGACTTCATACATTTTGGTATTTTAAAAAATTCTTTCTTTCAAGTTTCTGTAATGAGAAAAAGATAGTTTTATTTACCTGGAATGTTCTCGTTTCTCTCATGACAGGTAAAAACACATAACAGGAAAGGGATGCTATTATAACCAAGAATCCAGTAACATAATATTTCACACAGAATCATAGCAGAATCTTTCTGCAGTTGTCTAATTTATTTTCTTTTTTCAAAAGATCTGTCTTGGATAAAACAGATTACAACATGAAAGTAATCTGGTAACCTACCTTGATTATGAGTTTCGCTTGCTTTGATCTGGGATTTAGGCATCGTTGTCCTTTATGTTCTTTTAGAGTGACACTGTTAAGGGGACATACAGGAGTTACAGTTTGAATGGAAATACATGAACAGAAAAGCCCCGCCATTGTCACGTTCAGCAAACTTGTTACTTACATCACTTCTGTTTTGTCACAGTTGTTACTTGGGTAAATTATGGAGGCTTTCTCAATATCTGCCACCTTCACTGCTTTTGCTCCAGGGCCTATGCAAAGACAACGTCCCCCTCGAAACATGGGGAAACCTAGAATAGATCATAGCCTTAGTAATGCATCTGATTGCAACTGGTGGCTTCGGTTTATAATCCTGGTGATGGATGTAAGCAGAGCTTTCATTAAGGGTAAAGATAGTAATTTGTCAGATAGCACTTGACACAGCAGTTACTGGGAAAGGAGTTAAGTAAGATGTTGATGATTTTCTCTTTAAATTTGTCAGCAAACCATTAAAAAATAAAGGGAAGCATGAAGAAAGGTTACTGGAGGTGAAGCTTGTTTTGGCCCTTGGTTTTATCCTTAAGAATTTTCCCAGGAAGCTGCTAACATTCTCTTACATAAAATTTCCTTAACAGACATTTACAACTATCGCTAAAGGCTTTTGGCAGTTCTTGTAGCCAAATAAAAAATTTCATGAAGTTTATTATCTCTAGTTTCAATAATCATCTCTAGTGCCTTAAACATTTCCAGCGTTCCCCTGCCAAAGCTGCAGTAACTTCAAATCTGTGAGATCAAATAAAAATTCATCATGTCTTTCAGAATAAAAGTGGAGGAAAAGACATTTGAAACATTAGAAAAGGAATTTATAGGCTGAGAAATAAAAAGCACCATCTACCTTGAGCAATTGTAGCACAGAATATCACAGCCACAACTATCACCATGTCCTTCACGCTCATGTTTGTTTATCGTCCTTGCTGCTGGTGCTGCTGCTGCCTTGGCACTCTTCTTGGAGGGAATAGAAATGATGGGCATGAAAGGAAACTCTTAATTGGTATTTATAGAGCATTGACTATAACAATAATCCTTTTATGGCAACAGGAATTTCCCTCCTTGGGTTATCCTCCTTTCTTGCTTCCAAGAGTTTCTGTTTTGTTTTCTTCTAAGTGTTACTGTCCTTTCCTATATGTAGTCGTTTTGAAAGTGGTAAGAATGTGAAAGCACTCTGTAAAGGGCAGCATTCATTGAGAACAGAGTCTATCCAGATGGGAACCAGCCTTCTTAAGGTTCTTTTCCTAGAAATCCATTGAACTGTTGGGCTACTCTGGGTAGTGGAATTCTGATGGCCATTCATTCAGGAAGGTTGTCTTCCTGTTTTCATTCCTTTCACTGTCCATCTTTCACATAACTGTACAAAAGAATATTCTAGAAAAAAATTTTAATATCTGGCTTGCTTTTACGTCCAAACTCTATCATAGATAAGACCTATTTTATTTGACATCTTATTATCTTATATTTTTGCCTATAATTGCACTTCTAAGGAAGTCTCCCTGTATTTCTGTACATATATTCATTTTTTGCGTTTTTAACTATTTTTACTTTCTAAACATTTTAGCACTGTTATTTAGCACATAACCTTGTATGAATTGTATTATGGATTTGTAAAAAAAAATACATCCTCTTTCTTCATGTGATGTTTTTATCTTAGATTCTGCTTTGGTGTAATCCCTGTTTTTTATCTTTACTATTTTCCTCTTAAGCTTCCTTAATCTTTGTTTTAAGTGTGTCACTTCTAGACACTTAAGTGTGTCACTTGGAGACACTTAACTTCCTAATGGATGAGTATGGTAATTACTTATCATAAGTATGGAGTAACTGGTAATCTGTATTTTAAACTTCTTTTTTTCTTTAAGAGACAGATTCATGCTGTGTGGTCCAGGCTGGAGTGCAGTAGTGTAATTATAGCTCACGCAGCCTCGAACTCCTGGGCTCCAGTGATCCTTCCCACTCAGTGGCTGGGACTACAGGCATGTGCTACCATGTCTTGCTAATTGTTATACTTTTTGTAGAGTTGGAGTCTTGCTATATTGCCCAGGCTGGTCTTAAACTCCTGGCCTAGTGTTCCCCCCACCTTGGCCTCCCAAAGTGCTGGGTTACAGGGGTGAGCCACCAAGCCCAGGCAATAATTTGTATTTTTGTGATGCTTTCTTTTTATGTTTTCTTTTAATTCTTTCTAACTTGAAATATATTTTCTTTAACTTTTTCTCTTATGTAATTTGAAAGGAATGCACTGTTTTACATTTTGTTATTAAACATTAAAAATCTCTAAGACTGTTTTTACCTAAATTTTTCTTATTACTTACATCAACCATCAGTAATATATTCTAGCTCCTCTCTTTGTAAGATGAGAAAAATATTGTAACTTTCTTTCAAAAATCTTCTATTTCTCAGTTTTGTTTATATGATCTGGGATTTTATAGCTAGTTTATTATTTTCAGATGATTATTTTACATGATTCAGTATCTCTTTTGAGAATTATCAATTGCTTTTTTTCTTGAAATCATATATTTATTTAGCTATAATCCTACATTTAATTCTTTAAGAGCTATTACTAGTCTTTAAAACCTCG